TGGGTATAATGTGGGAAGCCAATTTCTGGTGTTCCCTGCCGTGATATTGCTGGAATGTTGCTAAAAGCGACGTAAACCAAATGCACTCACTCACTTTGAATATGATCCTAATAAATGATGATCAGGAAGATTACTGTTCACCCATAATTTGAACAAATGGTGATATAACCAGTGCTTCCATTGACTATTGCATGCAGTTGCCACCCGTGAAGATCCAGGTTAGAATTGTTTTTCAGTAACCCAGGGCGACTAATCGGGTAGGCAGGATCGCTGACCTGGTTGACATCGTATACCAACTGTGTAGATCGATGCTCTTGCTGTTGATCACTGGATTGTCTGGTCCAGATTCCAGATGTACAGAACGCAGACATATAGCTGGGTGCAGTGTTAAACAACAAACAAACAACACAAATAAAATATGTAGTTGCAAAATACAACAGGAATATCTTATTGCAAAAGAACCTCACGTCTCTTCTCTCTCACGAGAAGGACAAACCTATATTACCTATATTACATGAGATGTTCCTGTTATTGACCAGTCAGAGTGACAGGTGTGATGAAGCCGGTGTATACGGCCTCACTGAGTGGTCTATCCTGACATGGATCGTACCCTATCCACTGTTTACTTACAGTATTGACACAGTGGATTATATTTCACTGTGCTGGAGATATGTTGAGAGTGTGTCCCCATGCTGCCATCTGTTTCACAGCATTCAATACTTGTAGTCCCTGTCTGATATAGACTTATGCTTAGTCCCTGAACATATATAATTTTGATAGTAACAAATAAACCCATTTAAGTTAAAAAGGAGCCCCAGTGAGTTGGTAGATTCAAGGAAATCTAGACTTGCTTCATTTAGGGATTTAGCATTGCAGGAAGGGCTAGGCAGTAGGGGAAATGGTTCAGGGACTATGAGACAGACTATGAGACAGACTATGTCTGATATTGCTCAGTTATTTGTTAACTATGAGCCATCTTGACATCTTATTAAACAATTAACACGTTTTATTACTTCATTTCTGTTCAAAGTTGTTTGTAAAAGAAGATAGGTATGGTATGACCATTGTAAGTCCATGTTACTTTGGGAGTTACGATCATATATGTGCTAGGTCTGAAATGTCTATGTGAAAGTATTAGAGTTACAGTTATCCAAGAGTTAAGGCTCTGACTGTCGTAAGTCTGTGTTAAAGTATTGGAGATACAACCATCTTAAGGCTCAGACTATTGTAATACTATGTCTGTGTTAAGATACTGGAGTTACGATCATCTTAAGTCTCTGACTGTTGTAAGTATGTGTTAAGATACTGGAGTTACGATCATCTTAAGTCTCTGACTGTTGTAAGTCTGTGTTAAAATATTGGAGTTACGATCATCTTAAGTCTCTGACTGTTGTAATACTATGTCTGTGTTAAGATACTGGAGTTACGATCATCTTAAGTCTCTGACTGTTGTAAGTCTGTTATTATTGGAGTTACGATCATCTTAAGTCTCTGACTGTTGTAATACTATGTCTGTGTTAAGATACTGGAGTTACGATCATCTTAAGTCTCTGACTGTTGTAAGTCTGTGTTAAGATACTGGAGTTACAATCAGTGTGCAGGATTCCCATGGGCTTCACATTTTACCCTATAAAGGCCCTAAATTCGTATTAGCCTAGAAAAGGCACTAATTGCCAGTGATCTGCCCCCAAAAGCCCACATTTAGCAAAACTTGTCAAGTTGACTATACAGGAAACTACTACACACTATAAGTAGTCCTTGCAATGACTCTCCATCTCAAGGGGCGGCGGGGTAGCCTAGTGGTTAAAGCGTTCGGTCATCACGATGAAGACCCAAGTTCGATTTCCCCCATGGGTACAATGTGTGAAGCCCATTTCTGGTGTCCCCTGCCGTGATACTGCTGGAATATTGCTAAAAGTGGCGTAAAACTAAACTCACTCACTACCTCTCCATCACAAAGCAATACTTTCCCAGTACAGTGACATAGCTAAGAGTTATCTCCGTCTGATAGTCCGTCCCACATTTGACCAACCTTGTTACAATATTCAACTACTTGTGTGTTATATGTGTTTCTATAGTTCCTTACAATTGTTGATTCGGCCTTGAAAAGTCCTTAAAAAGGCCTTAAATGTGATGGCTGAGTGAGTGAGTGTGGTTTTGTGCCGCTTTTAGCAATATTCCAGCAATATCACAATGGGGGACACCATAAATGGGTTTCACACAATGTTCACATATGGGGATTCGAACCCGGTGTAACAGGCCAAACTTTCCCCCTGGCCAAACCTTCCCCGGGGATACTTTAGCCTAGGACAAACTTTTCCCCCTTAGGCTTAATCTTACCCGGGGAAAGTTTGTCCTAGGCCAAACTTTCCCCACCCTTGAATCAACTTTAAAGGCTACTTGTTTCAAACCCTGGTTCTTATTTCTGGCCAAGCTGGGCTATTTCTTCCCCAACCTTGTTTGCATGTTTATGTTCATCTTGAAAAAGTCAGAAACAAAAACAACACATTACTATTCACGTGAACACATTGATAAGATATTCATGTTGATGTCAAGTTCCATTAACAATTTACATGTCATCTTCATCTTCATATATAACATGTACATGGTTCACATTTTGTTACAATACCCTTATATATGGTGAGATGAAACAGAAAAGCAAGCATAAAGCAAAGATATTATATCATTACTATTGTTTTGTATTATCAACTACTTATTTTTGTATTTCAATCATTGTAACTTATCTCCACTTACTCCAACTTGGCTTATCTCAAAATCATTACTATATTCGAAACTTTAACTAAATACCCAAGTTTGATAAGGGGTATACTTGGCCCTTGGATATCTGAATCATATTTCATTCACCAAAAGTGATGATGGATTAGTAAACAAGCACAGGTAAATAATGTTCCATTGCATTTATACATAAATGCAACAGATATTAGATAATAAACAGCATGATAAGAGAGCAAGCAACCTGTGTATATTACATCTTTTTTTAACTATCAAACATGCGATTGAATGTTTACATCATATGATGACATGATTTGGACAGATGAAGAACTAATGCAATGTGTCTTCATAGGAATGGCGGCAGGAGCAGGATGGATTTAGAGGTATATGCAGTTCAAACATGTATGCATTCAAACCGCTACACCCAAGTCAGAGGCAAAAATGGACTATTTGGTAAAAATGTGTACCAAACTATAAGTCAAAACTACTGTCTGTTTATAAGAGCAAGGGTGGGGAAGAAGTAGCCTAGCTAGGCCAGAATCTTCCCCTTTTGATATAAAAAAGGGTGGGGAAGAAGTAGCCTAGCTAGGCCAGAATATTCCCACTTTTCACAGAAAACAGAACAAAATATCCTAGTTTAAACAGGGGGAAAGTTGGTCTGTGGGGTGGGGAGGGGGGGAATGGGACTTTAGCCTAGCCCAAACTTTCCCCGGGGTTAGAATATCCTAGGACAAAACCTCCCCGGGGTAAGTTTGGCCTAGGCCAGATTCTCCCCGGGGATTATTTAGACCAGGGAAGAAATAGCCTGCTACACCGGGTCTTCGACATGACGAGCAAACACTTTAACCACTAGGCTACCCCACACCCCCTGATGGCTGATAATCTGTACAAACCCTGGTATGGGTGTATGACTAAGAGGACTGTGGGGGGGTGGTCATGATTTATGTTGAAGATAAGGTGATCTTGTTTACACTGAAACATGTGTTACCCTGGCTTGTATTTGTCTACCCACAAGTAACTGTGGGGTGGGTATCATGGTGCCAAGCCTGTTCAGTGGTCAACGACCAAAGTCTGCAGCAAATGTCAAGGCTGCAATAAATGCCAATTTGAATTCCCAGAATTCAATAATTGTTGATAATAACTGATAGTACGAATAAATTAAAAGGGTCTTTAACGCTTATGATTAGTTGGCCGGACTGAATGTCATGTGAACTGATGTCGTGGACTGACTGTCTGACGTCTGAAATATGTGACATGTTGTTTGTCGTGAGTGTTAGACATCTTCACAATGAATGATCCGTTATCTGGCATTTTCCAAGAGCATGAAACCGCCAACAATGTATTAGTTTAAAATCAAAAGTGCAGTCTGCAAGATGAACGCTTAGACATTTCAGTACACAATTTGACTCTTTGCACTTTGGACCCATGAAGATCCACATTAAATTGATCTTCAGTAACCCATGCTTGTCGTAAGAGGTGACTAAAGGGATTGGGTGGGTTTACACATGTCATCGGTTCCCAATTGCGCAGATCGATGCTTACATGTATGCTGTTGATCACTGGATTGTCTGGTCCAGACTCGATTATTTCCAGACCGCTGCCATATAGCTGGAATATTGCTGAGTGCGGCGTAAACATAAACTCACCAACTCACTTTGCACTTTGACCATTTCCTCGCACTGTTTTCGTATTCACTTCTGAAAAGGCTGGAGCTTTCACTACACAGTATTGTTCCTACCAGTAATGCCACAGCTATTATGACCATTACTCTCTGCCAGTTTTGTACAAAGTGTAATGAAATTTAGTATTAATTTTGACACTTTATGGAAATAATCTTGTGTTTTGTCAAAGTATTTGGCTGTAAGCTACTTCTCTTCTTAATTTGCCACCTGTGAAGATCCGGGTTAGAATTGATCTTCATGCTTGTCATAAGACAATCCAGTGATCAACAGCATGAGCATCGATCTATGCAATTAGAACGCAATGACATGTGTCAACCAAGTGAACGAGCCTGACCACCCAATTCCTGTTAGTCGCCTTTTACGACAAGCATGGGTTGCTGAAGACAAAGGGCAAAGATCTGGGTAAAATTGGTCATTTGTTGAGATGTTTTTTACATAGGCTGGTACCCGTATCAAGATATGATATGAACCTTTTCACTGATATGCTTTTCAGCTTAAAATGTGCCACTCAAATAACGATATTGAAACATTTGGATTTGGAATTTTGGTTGCAAATGTTCTTCAATGAATTGATTTTATTTGCAGGAGATGAGTTGTCAAAGCTAGCTCTACAGAGATACAATGCAGTCAAGGTAAATAGAGGCAGTTTGTGTTCATTCTCACTCCAAGGGAGCAATGACTTTATTGTAAGAGACAGAAGCTGAGTTTAGGTTTCAGGTCAGCATTTGGATTTTTAGATGTTTTGAGAATAAAAAGAAAAGATTTTCAATTTAAACATATTCAAACAATTTTTTAAATTAAATCAAATAAGAAACTAATTTTTTGGGACACTTGTTTGCAAGAATATGTCACACTACTTTTCCCCGCATATGAGGTATATGTAAGTATTTTCTGTAAAACTGACATTTTTTATAGAAGACATTCTGTCCCCCTCCTCTTGAAATTAGGTGGATTTACTAGAACTATAGGCGGTGAGGTAGCCAAGTGGTAAAAGTGTCTGCTCGTCATGCCGAAGACCCAGGTTCGATTCCCCACAAGGGTTCAATGTGTGAAGCCCTTTTCTGGTGTCCCCGCTGTGATATTGCTGGAATATTGCTAAAAGTGGCGTAAAACCAAACTCACTCACTCACACTCCATCCCTCACTCACATGGACTAAGAAACTTGTTCAGGGACAATGTTAATAGTTGGTATCTCCTGCCCAGGAGTGAAGCTTTAATTACTGTGTTGCTACAAGAAATAAGAGCTGCACATAATTATCATCTCCATTGTGCACTCAGAGTTGTCTCCCTTTATCTGTACAGGGCACATCTCCAGAGAGACTAGTGACAGGGTCCGATGACTTCACGTTGTTTCTGTGGCACCCGGAGGAGGAGAAGAAACCCGTGTGTCGCATGACAGGGCACGCCCAACTCATCAACGAGGTTCTCTTCTCCCCTGATACCAGGCTCATCGCCAGTGCATCCTTTGACAAGTCAGTGAAGGTCTGGGACGGAAGAACTGGAAAGTAAGCAGTTTCTGAGGGTGTTGTCAGATGACTAAAGTATCAAGGGTTGAGAGTGAGTGAGTGGGTGAGTGAGTGAGTGTGGGAGTGAGTGAGTGAGTGAGTGGGTGGTTATGTAAGTGTGTGAGTGAGTGGGTTGGAGGTGAAGTGACCAAGCTGGATAATGAGTGAGTGGGTGGGTGGATGTGTGTGAGTGGGTTGTGCATTGCTGGATGAGTGAGTGAGTGAGTGATGCGGAGTGAGTGGGTGGATGTGTGTGTGCATGTGCTGGATGTGTGAGTGAGTGGGTTGGAGGTGAAGTGACCAAGTGAATGAGTGAGTGCTGTGCTGGATGAGTGGGTGGGTGGGTGGATGTGTGTGTGAGTGAGTGGATTGGAGGTGAAGTGACCAAGTTAATGAGTGAGTGAGTGCATTGCTGGATGTGTGAGTGAGGTGGGGTAAGTGTGAGTATGTGTGTGAGTGAGTGGGTTGGAGGCCAAGTGACCAAGTTAATGTGTGAGTGGATGGATTAGTGAGTGAGTGAGTGAGTGGATGAGTATGTACTTGTATGTCACTGCGACCAATCTTCCATTATTACAATTAATCAGAACACCACTAATTTCAAGACATATCTTCTTTTCTTGTTCATTTTTTTTATGTGGATTTCAGTAAAATTAGATGTTGCACTATGTGAGGTGTGTTGGTTTTGGAATTTTTTATTTGAAAACAAAACACAACTGGGGTAAATGTCTTGAATCTAACTCATAGTTATGACACAATACTATTGAGCAACATGATATAGTTGTTATTACACTTTCTCTGTAAAGAACAGATTCCAACACAAAGTATGTGATCTGGACTACCAGTTGACTGATTGTTGGAGTTTAGGTGACTAACTCTGAAAGTACAAGGTCTAATCTCAGATACCCTTGAAGATCCTGGTTAGAATTGGCCTTCAGAACCAATGCTTGTCGTAAGAGGCGCTTAACGGGATCAGGTGGTCAGACTCGCTGACTTGGTTGACCAACATGTCATCGATCCCAGTTGCGTAGATCGAGGCTCATGCTGTTGATCAGTGGTTTGTCTGGTCCAGACTTCATTATTAACACACCACCACCATAGAGCTGGAATATTGCTGAGTCCGGCGTTGAACAACAAACCAACCTAATCTCAACCAAATCTAATCTCAGATGGGACTCGAACTAGAATCTGTTTACTTCACTACAAAGTGTAATCCCAAATATAACATGTGTAACTCATAATTCATTATTTGTCCTGCTAATTACGACCATTGTTCATGTATGTACAGGTATTCACAGGTAATCAGCATCAGTTTATTTAGCTTATCCACATGGCATCATGGTCCATGTATACAGTCACCTGTTATTTGTTTTCAGGTTTATAGCATCCTTGCGGGGCCATGTGAGCCGAGTGTACCAGGTGGCGTGGTCCGCCGACAGTCGCCTGCTGTGCAGTGGGAGTTCCGACTCCACACTCAAAGTCTGGGACATGAAGACCAGGAAGCTTCTGTCTGATCTTCCTGGACACGCAGACGAGGTGGGTGGTGGCAGGAAGTATTCATGTCGGCCCCTGTAACTGTATTCGCATGGCAATCTGATACTGTATTCACATGGGGACCTGTCAAAGTATTCACATGGGGACCTGTCACAGTATTCACATGGGGACCTGGCTCAGTATTCACATGATGACCTGGCTCAGTATTCACATGGGGACCACTCACAGTATTCACATGGGGACCTGGCTCAGTATTCACATGGGGGCCTGTCATAGTATTCACATGGGGACCTGGCTCAGTATTCACATGGGGACCTGTCTCAGTATTCACATGGGGACCTGGCTGTCACCTGGGCTCAGTATTCACATGGGGACCTGGCTCAGTATTCACATGGGGACCTGTCACAGTATTCATTCACAGTATTCACATGGGGACCTGTCACAGTATTCACATGGGGACCTGGCTCAGTATTCACATGTACCTGTCACAGTATTCACATGGGGACCTGGCTCAGTATTCACATGGGGACCTGGCTCTTGTATTCACATGGGGACCTGTCACCTGTCACATGGGGTCACATGGGGACCTGTCACAGTATTCACATGGGGACCTGGCTCAGTATTCACATGGGGACCTGTCACAGTATTCACATGGGGACCTGTCACAGTATTCACATGGGGACCTGGCTCAGTATTCACATGGGGGCCTGTCACAGTATTCACATGGGGACCTGGCTCAGTATTCACATGGGGACCTGTCACAGTATTCACATGGGGACCTGTCACAGTATTCACATGGGGACCTGGCTCAGTATTCACATGGGGGCCTGTCATAGTATTCACATGGGGTCACATGGGGACCTGTGTCACAGTATTCACATGGGGACCTGTCACAGTATTCACATGGGGACCTGGCTCAGTATTCACATGGGGACCTGGCTCACAGTATTCACACATGGGGACCTGGCTCAGTATTCACATGGGGACCTGTCATTCAGGGACCTGTCACAGTATTCATGGGGACCTGTCATTCACATGGGGACCTGTCACAGTATTCACATGGGGACCTGGCACAGTATTCCTGGGGACAGTATTCACATGGGGACCTGTCACAGTATTCACATGGGGAGTATTCACATGGGAGCCTGTCACAGTATTCACATGGGGACCTGGCTCAGTATTCACATGGGAGCCTGTCACAGTATTCACATGGGGACCTGTCACAGTATTCACATGGGGACCTGTCACAGTATTCACATGGGCTTTATGATTTTTACTCTGGGGCCTGGTGCGTAATTAAAAGAGCAATAACATAATAGATGTGCCACTTTGTATGTATGTGGATGTATGTGTGGCTTTCTCTGAGAGCATGTTACACTGCTCCAGTGACATGGGGGAGCATGTTCCCGCTATCAATCACATGCTTGTCTGACCCTGACAACACAAAGAAGGATTGTCGTGTGTGGTCTGTCTGACAGTATTATACTCCCAGTGACATCGGCAAGCATGCTCATGCTCTGGACCACTAATTCACAGGACAAGGACGTCACAAAACTCCATCATTCAGTCTATACCACAGAAGATGCAAACACATCTGACCTGAAGAGTTATGGCCCTTTGGTATGACAGTATCTGCTTGTCCCTTCCAATAACACTACTGACTTCAGTGTTTAGTAGTTAGCTTAGTTTCCAAGGTAGTAGTCTCTCCATGTAGTAAACATTCTGTATTGTGTTCCAGGTGTACTCAGTAGACTGGAGTCCGGATGGCCAGCGAGTGGTCAGTGGAGGGAAGGACAAGGTACTCAAAGTGTAAGTATACACTGTGTCGATAATACAGTGTCATGATACACTTACGGATGTATCGATGCATATTGTGCAACTTGAATCACTGCTGTGCTCAGTTTGTAATAGTTTTATGTGAAATTCTCCATCTTGGGACCTATGAAGATCCATGTTAGAACTGATCTTCAGTAACTCCTGCTTGTTGTAAGAGTGAGTGAGTTTAGTTTTACGCCGCCACTCAGCAATATCCCAGCTATATGGCGGCGGTCTGTAAGTAATCGAGTCTGGACCAGACAATCCAGTGATCAACAGCATGAGCATCGATCTACACAATTGGGAACCGATGGCATGTGTCAACCAAGTCAGCGAAACTGACCACCCGATTCCGTTAGTCGCCTCTTACGACAAGCATAGTCGCCTTTTATGGCAAGCACATGGGTTGCTGAAGACCTATTCTACCCCGGATCTTCACGGATCTTGTTGTACGAGGCACTAACTGGATGAAGTGGCCAGGCTCGCTGACTTGCTAGACACAAGTCATCATATCCAAGTTGTGTAGACTGATGCTGTTGATCACTGGATTGTCTGGTCCAGACTCGATTATTTACAGACCACTGCCATACAGCTGGATTATATTGCTGTGTGCGGCGTAAAACAACAAACAAACAAACATCAATCTGATACTTTCAGTTTTGAATCCCCCGAACTTTGGGTTTATTTTTCCAACTAATGCTGAGGAAGAGTGTTTAATACTTATGGAGAGTCGCCAAAAATACCAGAAACAAGTAACATCATTGTGAAACAACACAGCCATTGATGTAGGAAACACATTCACTGACAACAGCTCACTAACTTGGTGACCGCCTCCGTGGTGTAGTGGTTAGAGCATCTGCCCGGAGAGCGGAAGGTCGCGGGTTCGATCCCCGACCGCGTCATACCAAAAGACGTTAAAATATGGTACTTGTTGGTCCCCGCCTGGCGCTCGGCATTAATGGGTACAACAAGGACTGGTCGGCTCAGAGTCAGTATAATGTGTCTGAGTGGGGTATTCATGCTTCACTGGTATCTCAGTGGGCTAGCACTATAAAACCAGCTTAGGTCTGGGCTAGTACAAGCAGCTACACATACACATACACACGCATGCACGTCGTCATATGAGCGAAATATTCTCAAGCACGACGTAAAAACCCAATTTCGCTTCACTTCACTGACTTGGTTGATGAGCATCAAAGTGTCCCAAATACTCAGATAGATGCTCATGGTGTCAATCACTGGATTGTCTGGTCCAGACTCGATTATTTCCAGACCGCCGCCATATATCTGAAATACTGCTGAGTGCGGTGTTAAACACCAAACCAACCAACAAATGTGATACATAAACAAACAAATAAATAAATCTTAAACATTTAGCAGTTCATCAGTTATTTAGATTCTGTTCTCAAACATGTATCCACACCAGTGAAAATTATATTAGTTTGTTGTTTAATGCCACACTCAGCAGTATTACAGCCATCTAATGGCAGTATGTAGATGGCTGAGTGTTAGACATCACACATATGGGACATTATGATATATTATTATTATTATCAATATTGTCAATCACTCATCGAGTCTATCCCTATTTTACCCTCTTACACATGCAGATACGTGGTAAAATGTTTTAATGAAATAATATGGTATCTCCAATGATATGGACAATTAAATTTCATTCTCTGAGAACCTTCAGGCAATTTTAAACAATGCCATTTGTGAGAAAATTGCCAATTGAAGAAAATTAAAGGTGATGTAAGTGGTGTCATTAAAATGTCATGGTTTAGTCATCGGACATTCATATCCTGCCTAATGGCAGTTTGTGAATGTTAAATTATTATTAAGTTTAATATTTTTCCTTTTCCAGACTTTTTTGTAAAAATTTTGTAATAACCCTGTTGTGTTTTTAGCTGGCGACATTGACAGTGTCTCTCAGCGCAGACAGTCCCATCCTGGGAAGCAGCCAATCAGCAGCCTCGGAACATGGCAATACATCATTATCTGACAAGGAGAGCAGAGTCGGAGTTTCCTCCCGAACATGGCAGTTCACTCAGGGAAGATTAAACATGCCATGTGTTTTATGCAACAAGCACCAGGTCTTGTAGGAGGAGCTGCAGTATGCCTGTTGCTGGCTTGTATGACCACAACCATTAACATGACAGCTGTGGACAAACTATGTCAGTGGAGGATCTGAGGACGAGCTATGGGCAATGAGCAGCTTGTTTACGTGTGTTGAAACAAGTCTGTATGCGTGTTATATACTGACTCACATGGAAAATGCATATTTGAATTCTGGTAATATTTGGTAATTTGGCCTGAAAATGAAGTTAAGTTGGAATTAATTGGTGGTATTGGTACAAATCTTGTTTGAAAAATTAAGTTAAGTTCTGGATGTTTAGGTGAGGTATTCAAACACAAACTTGTTAGAATTGGGGTTAAAATCTTCTTTGAAAACTTTTGTTAAATTCTGGGTATTTAGAATCACCATCATCAAACACGAAAATGTTGGAATTGGGGTTCAAAGCTTGTTTGAAAACTGAAGTTAAGTTCTGGATGTTTAGGTTTGAGGTAATTAAACACAAACTTGTTAGAATTGGGGTTAAAATCTTCTTTGAAAACTTTTGTTAAATTCTGGGTATTTAGAGTAACATCATCAAACACAATAATGTTGGAATTGGGGTTCAAATCTCATTTGATGTTTTTTCCAGGTATACTGTTGAAATTTTCTTGATTCCTTTTAAGTGGATTTTGCATTTGAAATGTGGTTCAGTATATATCATAAGCATAGGCTGATATCAACATTTATCTGATGGGTTTTATAGGGTTTTATTTACTTAGGGAAATATGGTACAGGGGAATATGGTTTTAGTCAATGTTCATGGAATGTCTCAAACTTGAACTGGTTAGTATTGCTGTAACTTACAAAAAAACACCATTATACAGTTGAAATGTTTGTTAAAAAGGGTGTTTACATTTTTTATTTTATCTGCGAATAGCTGCAAAATTGCTGATGCGGCTTAATGCACATTTACTCACTACTCCTATTTGGAGAGATTATATTTATGGATATGTGAATATGAATTGTTAATGTGTATGTAAATATGGATTATTGTGTTATGGAATAATGTATCAGCATTGTTAACGTAATTTGTTGAACATTTTATGTGAAGTTGAATCAATTAATGTAGATCTCTCCTCTAAATGCTTCACAGGGAGGGGCGCTGGTGTTGAGAACTGCCACCTTGGTCATGTTGGTAATCAATTGTCATTAGAGAATCAGCCATAGAGGGCGATGGCTAACTTGTGAAGCAGCCATTATGTGCACCTGTAATAGATCAATCAGTGTAAAGAGAATCTCTGTTTTGTTTAATTAAATCATGGAGTGTTATATTTTTCAGTTAATGATTATGATGATTATGATTATGATTTATTGAAGGCACAATCACCATTAGAATGATGCAAATGTTCTGAGAGGTTTTTCCCTCTACGCTCTCTCAATGTGTTTATATATAAATGAATGTAAGCTGATCAAAGTCGTTTGATACTGATCTGCATGAATATTCCCCAGTTTTGTATGTACTTTATATATAGTAGACTTCCCATTTTGAAGCTCTTTTGACAGGTTGTAGGATCAGCAGTTTATGTTGGTTTCCTGGTATCTGTACCGAGCACCTGGTATCTGTACCTGTGGAAAAAAATTCTATCAGTCATCATTTAATTTAAGGAAGTCCACCTGGCCTGTTGTTCAGCTTTTTTCAGCAGAGACAACCCAAAGTTGTGAGTTGGATTGGTTTTGGATGGGTTGATTTTGCAAGTGTTGCTAGGCAACCAGGACAGTAACATGTCTTGCTGGAATAGTTTCTGATCATTATTGTGTGATGCCGATTTGTTATATGGCTCAAATGTTAATAAGTCTAACATATATATATATATATCTTTCCAACTGTCCCTCTATCGCTTATGGCTGGCTTAATCGATCACTTCTATCCTGTGGGATTGAAAGTCCCGCCATGCCTGTGTTCCCTACCTGGTGTTTGTTGAATACCATCTTCAGGCATCAGGAGGTGGTTGACACAGGTGTGAGCTGGTTGATGTTCTCTCTCAGGTTCTTTCTTCTTCTGGTTATCTCACCTCTCTATACTATCCCCTGATACCCATGAAGATCCGGGTAATAATTGGCCTTGAGAAACCCATACTTGTTGTAACAGGTGACTATTGGTATTGGGTGTTGAGGCAGGCTGGATTGCCTCTGGTTATCTCAACCATTCACACCCTTCATCCCATGCACTCTATTGTTTTGGGAGGTAGCCATGGGATGTCCTAATAGCCTGATAGTTCAAGTGTTTGCTTGTCACGCTGACGACTCAGGCTCAATTCCACACATGGGTACAATGTTTGAAGCCCCATTTTGGTATCCCCAGCCGTGATATTGCTAGAATATTGCTAAAAGCAATGTAAAGCTCACTCACTCACTCACTCTTCGATCCTGTGAGATTGAAAGTCCCGCCATGCCTGTGTTCCCTGCCTGGTGTTTGTTGAATACCATCTTCAAGCATCAGGAGGTGGTTGACACAGGTGTGAGCTGGTTGATGTTCTCTCTCAGGTTCTTTCTTCCCCCAGTCAACTCACCGCCACACTTATATTCTATACTATCCGTTTCTTTCTCTATTCTTTACGATCCTGTGGGATTGAAAGTCCCGCCATGCCTGTGTTCCCTGCCTGGTGTTTGTTGAATACCATCTTCAAGCATCAGGAGGTGGTTGACACAGGTGTGAGCTGGTTGATGTTCTCTCTCAGGTACTTTCTTCCCCAAGTCAACTCACCGCCACACTTATATTCTATACTATCCGTTACTTTCTCTTCTCTTTGTCCTTGGGGGGCCGTGGGTTAGCCTAGTGGTTAAAGTGTTCATTTTTTATGCCAAAGACCCAGGTTCGATCCCCCACATGACTACACATGTGGAGCCCATTTTAGTGTCCCCCGCCGTGATATTGCTGAAATATTGCTGAAAGCTGCATTAAACTAAACTGACTCACTCACTCTTCAATCCTGTGGTTCTCTTTCAGGTTCTTTCTTCCTCTGGTCATATCACCCATCCACATCTATATTCTATACTATCCATTTCTTTCTCTATTCTTTACGATCCTGTGGGATTGAAAGTCCCGCCATGCCTGTGTTCCCTGCCTGGTGTTTGTTGAATACCATCTTCAAGCATCAGGAGGTGGTTGACACAGGTGTGAGCTGGTTGATGTTCTCTCTCAGGTTCTTTCTTCTTCTGGTTATCTCACCTCTCTATACAATCCCCTCATACCCGTGAAGATCCGGGTAATAATTGACCTTGAGAAACCCATACTTGTTGTAACAGGCGACTATTGGTATCGGGTGTTGAGGCAGGCTGGATTGCCTCTGGTTATCTCAACCATTCACACCCTCCATCCCATGCACTCTATTGTTTTGGAGGTAGCCATGGGGTAGCCTAATATCCTGATAGTTAAAGCGTTAGCTTGTCACGCTGAAGACTCAGGTTCAATTCCCCACATGGGTACAATGTTTGAAGCCCCATTGTGGTGTCCCCAGCCATGATATTGCTAGAATATTGCTAAAAGTAATGTAAAACTCACACACTCACTCACTCTTTGATCCTGTGAGATTGAAAGTCCCGCCATGCTTGTGTTCCCTGCCTTGTGTTTGTTGAACACCATCTTCAGGCCTCAGGAGGTGGTTGACACAGGTGTGAGCTGGTTGATGTTCTCTCTCAGGTTCTTTTTTCTTCCAGTCATCTAACCATCCACATGTATATTCTGTACTATCTGTTTCTTTCTCTTCTCTTTGATCCTGTGGGGGCGTTGGAGTAGCCTAGTGGTTAAAGCGTTCATTCGTTACGCTGAAGACCCGGGTTCAATTCCCCACATGAGTATATGTGAATTGGTGTCCCCCTCCGTGATATTGCTGAAAAATTGCTTAAGGCGGCGTTAAACTAAACTGACTCACTCACTCTTCGACCCTGTGGTTCACTTTCAGGTTCTTTCTTCCTCTAGTCATATCACCTATCCACATCTATATTCTAAACTTTCCGTTTCTTTCTCTATTCTTTACGATCCTGTGAGATTGAAAGTCCCGCCATGCCTGTGTTCCCTGCCTGGTGTTTGTTGAACACCATCTTCAGGCCTCAGGAGGTGGTTGACACAGGTGTGAGCTGGTTGATGTTCTCTCTCAGGTACTTTCTTCTTCTAATTATCTCACCTCTCTGTACTATCCCCTCATACCGATGAAGATCCGGGTAATAATTGGCCTTGAGAAACCCATACTTGTTGTAACAGGCGACTATTGGTATTGGGTGTTGAGGCAGGCTGGATTGCCTCTGGTTATCTCAACCATTCACACCCTTCATCCCATGCACTCTATTGTTTTGGGAGGTAGCCATTGGGTAGCCTAATATCCTGATAGTTCAAGCGTTTGCTTGTCACGCTGAAGACTCAGGTTCAATTCCCCACATGGGTACAATGTTTGAAGCCCCATTTTGGTGTCCCAAGCCAGGATATTGCTAGAATATTGCTAAAAGTAATGTAAAACATACACACTCACTCACTCTTTGATCCTGTGAGATTGAAAGTCCCGCCATGCCTGTGTTCCCTGCCTGGTGTTTGTTGAATACCATCTTCAGGCATCAGGAGGTGGTTGACACAGGTGTGAGCTGGTTGATGTTCTCTCTCAGGTTCTTTCTTCTTCCAGTCATCTAACCATCCACATGTATATTCTGTACTATCTGTTTCTTTCTCTATTCTTTATACGATCCTGTGGGATTGAAAGTCCCGCCATGCCTGTGTTCCCTGCCTGGTGTTTGTTGAACACCATCTTCAGGCATCAGGAGGTGGTTGACACAGGTTAGAGCTGGTTGATGTTCTCTCTCAGGTTCTTTCTTCTTCTTCATTGGCCAAACCACTGGTTTATCGGGCCTTAAATCTGTTACTTGCAGGCAGCATTGCTGTTTTTTGGTAATATATTTATTCCCCACAGCCTCGTCTTCATCAGGGGGGTGTTGGGGAAGCCTAGTGGTTAAAGCGTGCGCTCGTCGTGCCGAAGACCTGAGTTCGATTCCCCGCATGTGTGTAGCCCATTTCTGGTGTCCCCTGCTGTGATATTGCAGGAATATTGCTAAAAGCAGCAAAACAAACACTCGTCTTTATCAGTATGACAGGTAGGTGGTCAACCCAGTCCAATTTCAATTTTGGGATGTCAGACAGCTGCTATGTAAAAGAATTATGTCTTCACATTCAGGCTACTTCAAAATGCCAGCCAAGACTTCCAGGCCTGTTCCTTTGTTGAATCCTTTTGTTGAGAGTGTTTGGTGCCAAGTAACATTACAAAAAGGTCTTGTCCTGGTTCTCAGTGACAACTGTACCTGTATACTACGGTTGTCCACTGATGATCAGCAAGGACATTTTGCTACGAAATTTTGAACACAAGCTGATCAATACCTATAAAATTTTGCAACGGTCATGCAAATGATCATCCAAGTAGATGGGTCACCTATGATTCTGAGTTTGAATCCTGGTTTGTATGCACCATAACTGTTTTTTTCTACAAAGTTGTACATATGTAACACCTGCATTACTTCAAGTTTGTAACTAAAATACTGATTGAAGTATAGCTGTACGCATGAACTGTCTGAGAGGCATTCTAGAAGTTGTAAGCAATAGGAGTGACAAGTGTTTATGGATGATCAACTTCTTTATTGTACAATAGTGACGTTTCGGTATAGATACTTATACCATTTTCAAGCTGTACCCAACTCACTCACTCAAGTGGGATATTTTTAAGGTCCAGTTCAGGCATATCCAGATACAATTGTAATTTCCAGAAAATGAATATTGTGACCAAAGTCATTGCTTCTATTTATGCAGTGTGTTATTTATGGCAATATATATGTACAGTTGTGTGTGTGCTAATTAGTTTATGCACACCTTGTACACACCTCTGAACCACGCTCATGATGAAATTGTTGGTTTTTTAAGATTGTCAAGAGAGGTTTTATTCAGGTTGTTACTGGTAATCCTGCCAGTGTGGTTTCAGTCTAATATGTATACTATTTAAGTCACTGCAAGACCTGAACATCATTAAGACCCTACTGATCAGATTGATCTTGGGTTCACTGACATTGCCTAAGGATGATTTTTAACTGAAGACTAGACTAGGCAAGTGTGGAATGTAAACGTCCTTCAGAACAAAACACATGTTGATGTTGTCATAATCAGATGCTTCCTGAAATTTTCATTCTGATGAACGTCTCTTTTAAATATAGCCCTTCAATACTTTAAAGTGTAGAATAATCCTGAATCTATCTGGTCTTTTGAATTATCATTATTTTCTCAGGGCGAGTTGAAAATAGATGCATTATTGCAACATGAAATAATATATGGTAGTTGTATCATTTACTGTATCAGATGGAACGCTCTGTGCTTCAGTGAATCGTGTATGAGTGAATTGTGTATCATTGAACTGTGCATCATTGAATCATGTATCCGTGTGTTGTATAGCATCGAATTATGTATCAGTGAATCATATACTAGTATCATTGAATTGTGTATAATTGAACTGTGCATCATTGAATCATGTATCCGTGTATTGTATAGCATTGAATTATGTGTCAGTGAAGCATCACATCCACAACCTACACCTGCAGTGATCAGATTGGTACAGATTGTTCATAACTGATATAGATTCATCCAAGAGGTATTGATTTCACATTGGATGCAGGTAGTGTAGAATATGTAACCATGGTGATCATCATGAAGTGTGGCCTGTATGCTCCATTGTTGAAGCTAGGAGTTATTCTGATATTGTCACAGACACCTGTATTCTACCCATCATGCACTGGTCCTTGTACAAGCCTGTGTTTTTGTCATGGCAACATGGGATGCCAATAAATGAAAACCTTTTCAACAGTCTTTGTCTTTCTTTATATGTATATGGATATGATGACATCAGATGTTTGAATATAATGTTCAAGAATCTTCCACTTCAAGCATTGGAGTGATGCTGATATACCTGCGCTACAGTTGATAACAATGATATTCTGCTGCCTGCTAACTGAAGGCAAAAGCTTGATTTTTATGCAAACATGGTGTAATTGGCACATCTCCAGTTTTTGTCGTCAATGTGAGGGTCACCCCACTCAGAGAGTGCTTTACTTTCAAGTAGTCTGCAAAGATATGGTTTAGGTGTTGAAAATGACCCATAAAGATCCAGGGCCTAGATTTTCGAAGCTCTCTTAGCGCTAAAATAGTCGTAAGTGCCATACATTAAAATTAACTTACGACTATCTTAGCTCTAAGAGAGCTTCGAAAATCTAGGCCCAGGTTAGAATTGGTCTTCATCAAGCTGTGCTTGTCATTAGAGGCGGTTAATGGGTGGTCAGGCTCGCTGGCTTGGGTGACCCATGTCATTGTACCACAAATTGCATAGATCGATGTTCATGATGCCAGTCACTGGATTGTCTGGTCCAGATCCGATTATTTACAGACTGCCATCATATATAACATGTTATATTTGGGATTACACTTTCTTAGTTAAGTACAGATTCTAGTACTTTTGTTGGGTTGAGTCCCATCCGGGATTTTAACCCACACCCTCAGAGTCGGGCTCCTAATCACCAGCACACAAAGTCAGCAGCCTTATCGCCCAGCCACCATCATATAGATGGAATATTGCTGAATATGGCATTAAACTGTAAACAAACATAGGTGTTGAAATTAGCTTTCCTGTTTTCGTATGATATCAAGATTCAAATCACTGCACATCATCTACATATTGGACTGGCATACCACTAAATATGCTACTTCTGTTGTTTATCTCCCTGCCTGACGCTTGGTATTGAGACAATGAAACAGAACAGCTCGGGTGGAAGTCATTAAGTGTGTCTGAATAGGGTGTTGATGTCAAAACCGAGGCATGGTATCTCAGTGGGCGAGCACATATCACCACTTGTCTGGACTAGTACAAAGCAGCCACAAACATTGAAGTCTGAGGACTCGTGGCCTGTATCATGTACCTTACCTACACCCCTGACAATCAGCATGTCTCCCATGGTGCATAGGTGCTCATTCTGGGTTCAAATCATTGATGGGACTCAAAGCCCAAAAGTACCTGTATCTTACCGACAAAGTGTAATCCCATATATAACATATGTTACAGTTGATGACTTTCTAAATGGCACTGACTAATTTATTTGTAGATAAGCAACACAACCAAAATTGCCTGAATATATGTCTGAAATAATTCTATTTAAAATCGGGGCGGTGGGATATCCTAGTGGATAAAGTGTTCGCTCCTCACGCCGAAGACCTGGGTACAGTGTATGAAGCCCATTTCTGGTGCCACCCGCCGTGATATTGCTGGAATATTGCTAAAGGCGACATAAAACTAAACTCACTGTATTCAAGATAGTGGAATGGCCCTGTAGTTACATCAGTCAGGAATGACCAATATTCAGTCCTGCAGTTTTTCACAAATAGGTTCAACACCACATTACAGTGCAGTTCCCCCCCCAGGATAGAAAAGGTACCCAGTGTCAGCACCCTTGTATTTTGACCGGTGGTCCGAGTGATTATTGGTCACATGATTGTTGTCATTGTGTGATACTAAGCAGCAAAAGAAACGTCAGTTTGGAAGTTTCCTTCGCAGAAACGGATAACTGTAAACTCATTTAATGTTTTGATTGTAGATTTTTGACAACATCTCCAACTTTACCTGAGAAAAGACATTCCTTCCCAAACTCGGAATGGAACCCAGGGAATGGTCTTAAAAACTCAACCTGATCTCGGAGATGGTACGGTGTTCTCCATGTTTTTCATGCAACTCATGTGGCACGTTCTGTTCACAAGGACCAGCCCTATAAAATGCACCTGGTTGAAACATTAACATTACAACGTCAACAGGATGCCGCGACTCGCGCTAGGAACCAGGCGCTGGGAAGACTTGAAGCTGGCCTTACTGCACAAGCCGTTGCAAATCACTTCCAGGTCAACGTTCGGACCATCTACAGGCTGCAGCAACGTTTCCGGGCCACCAACACCACAAATGATCGCTCCCGTAACGGCAGACCAAGGGTGACCACAAGACGACAAGACCGCCATGTTGTGCGACAGCATGTACAGAATCCCTTCATGCAGGCATCCGAAATAGTACGCCAGACAGTGGGAACACACGGAAGACCAATGCAGTTCTGATACAGTACGCCGACGTCTTAACACCGGGAACCTCCATTGCCGTAGACCTTACCGTGGACCTATCCTCACCCCTCGTCATCGGTGTGAACGTCTACAGTTTGCCTTACAACACCAAAACTGGCGATACAGGCAATGGGGAACTTTTCCGTTCACAGATGAGAGTCGATATTGCGTGTCAACTGCAGATGGCAGAACAAGCATATGGCGATGACGTCGCCAGCGTTACTCAGACCAATGTGTTATGGAAAGAGACTCATGGGGAGGTGCAAGCATCATGGTATGGGGTGGAATAGGCCTGAACCAGAGAGTGGGTCCTGTGGTGTTCCAGAACCTTGGCCCAGGGAGGGGAGGCGCCATCACAGCAGTGCGCTACATCGACCAAGCTCTCAGACCCCACGTCATACCACATTTCGCACGTCACCGGAACAACATTTTCCAGTATGAAAGCGCTCGGGCCCATACTGCCAGACTTCCTCCAGCAGAACGGTGTCAACATTATGCGGTGTCCAGCCCTTAGTCTGATTTAAACCCAATTGAACATATTTGGGATGAAATTCAGAGGAGACTGAATAATGTCATACCAAGGCCGAACACAGCCAATTTATTGCGCCAGGCCTTTCTCAGAGTGTGGTTCCTGTTGCCAATGGCCTTCATCAATCGATTGGTGCACTCCACGCATGGTCACTATCCTGCAGTTATTGCCGCTCGTGGTGGTCACACTAGATATTTAAGTCAAGAGTCTGAATGGACTGCAAACGTTCACGTAATGTCTTGAAATTGTGGTGAGTTATTCATTGATGTGTCAAGATATTGTACTCAAAAAAATGTTTTTGATCCGCTTATTCTGTCAATTTTTGTAATGATTTGATTACAGTGCCTATCTAATTTTGGAGTCGTACCGACGTATTTTTGTTTTTTTGCTGATGAGAATACATGCCTTTAGTACTCATCACACAATAGTGTGTTTGGCTGTTTCAACAAATGCACACATATTAACGAATTACCTTCTGAAGGGCCGCCTCCGTGGTGTAGGGGTAAGAGCGTCCGCCCGGAGAGCGAAGGATCGCGAGTTCGATCCTCGGTCGCCTCATGCCAAAAGACGTTAAAGTATGGTACTTGTTGGTCCCTGACTGGCGCTCGGCATTAATGGGTACAATAAGAACTGGTCGGCTCGGAGTTAGTATGATGTGTCTGACTGGGGTGTTCATGCTTAACTGCGACATGGTATCTCAGTGAGCTAGCACTATAAAACCAGCTTAAGTCTGGGCTAGTACAAGCAGCCACACACACACACGCATGCATGTCGTTATATGAGTGACATAATCGTAAGTACGACTTTAAACCCAATTTCACCTCACCTCACCTGAAGTTGATGATCCTTGGCAAAATTCGAGCAGTCTAGTTTGAGAGACGACTGATAGGTGCAAGAGCACCGATATCACTGAAAACAACAGGTGGTGAGATACGTGTACATGTAAATACAGACCACGATTTCGTGTGTCCCATAAATTCACACCAGAGCTACAACCATGTTGGTTCTACTTTGTCTCTCCCTCGCTTTCACCACGGCGCTGGGTGAGTAGATACTGCTACGGTGAGACGAAATGGGGTTTAACGTCTTACTTAAGAATATTACGCTCATATGACGACGTGAATGCGTGTGTATGTGTATGTGTGGCTGCTTGTACTAGACCAGACTTAAGATGGTTTTATACTGCTAGCTTACTGAGATACCATGTAGTAGTTAAGCATGAATACCCCACTCAGACACATTAGACTGACTATTGCTATACCCATCACCCTAACATCAAATCCTGACGCTGTGCAGGGGAGCTAATCCTTCACTGAGGTCACGGCCCAGGTCACATTAGCTCACCCATGAAAGGGGGGACCATACAGAATCTTAAGTTTCTGAATCGCCAAGGTCCGGATTAAAACCGTCGTCATATGAGCGAAATAATATAAAGTGAGACGTTAAACCCCATTTCACCTCAGCTTGCATGTTATAAAGAGAAAACTACTCTGATAAATAAAATGATATGAATGGAACACTGAAATCAGTGATGACACCAGGTGTTCGCGAAAAGTATAGACATGTCCTGCCCTTCGGGTAGCACCATCTAACTAACTCCATTTAATTTGAGAAAGAGCCCCGGTGAGATGTGAGATTTAGAACCTGAGGAAAAGCTAGACTGTTTTCATTAAGGTGAGGTGAGGTGAGGTGAGGTGAAATAGGGTTTAACGTCGTACTGGGGAATATTTCGCTCATATGACGACGTGCATGCGTGTGTATGCGTATGTGCGGCTGCTTGTTCTAGACCAGACTTAAGCTGGTTTTATAGTGCTAGGCCACTGAGATACCATGCCGCAGTGAAGCATGAATACCCCACTCAGACACATTATACTGACTCCAAGCCGACCAATCGTTGTTGCACCCATTAATGCCGAGCGCCAGGCAGGGACCAACAAGTACCATATTTTAACGTCTTTTGGTATAGCGGTCGGGGATCGAACTCGCGATCGACTTTCCGCTCTCCGGGCAGATGCTCTAACCACTACACCACGGCGCAGGCAGTTCTTTTCATCAAGGGATTTGGTGTTGCAGAAAGGGCTGGGCGGAAGGGAAATGCATGTGGTTCAGGGACTGTTAAGTGGACTAAGATTAAATGAGTGAGGGTGTACGGGTTTGTACGCCAACGTTGTAACAGAAGCGGGAAAACTACAGATGTGGCCGTCACACACAGACCCCAAATTGAACTTAGGGCCCGTTCGTAATTTATGGCTAGGGAGGGTGATGATGATTTTACGTGGGGTCACCCATATTGTACTGGGGAGGTGGGGGGTCAGCAATATTGTACACGTTTCTAGGGGGTCAGCAATTTTGGAAAGGGGAGGTCATTGACCTTGGAACATGACATGCAGGGGGTCACTTACTTTGTACAGATTTTAGGGGGCTCATTCACATTGTACATGCTTCTCCATAAAAATCATCATCACACACACACCCACCCAGCAATAAATTATGAACGGTCCCTTAGTTCGTAGGCGAGACCAGCGAACACTTTAACCACTAGGCTTCGAACTGATCATTCTTTCTCCTAACAAACCATTCAATAATGATTCAATAATGCTATATATCTCATCTGCTTTGTCTATTAGATGATGGTTATACCAAATATTTGTATATATAAAATCTATTGAGGTCGATATTTAGTAATCCTGTATGAAATTTATTAAAATGTCTAAATGTCTTACATTTGGTTGCTCGGTGAATGCAGTGCACTTATTAACCCAGTAATACAAAGACAGACGAGAGTAAATCAGTTGATAAAACAACATTTTGGCGAGAGGAACTTCAGTGCTTCAAAACTCTTGATTTGAGAAACTGTGGTGTTTTTAAGGCGACTCCTGCACAGACCACGTACATCCAACGTATGGCAAGGTCGGGAAGTGTATTAAGAAGTCCTGCTGTGAATACTCCACCTATATATCCTCCCTGTGTGCTGGGGATGATACCGCCTGCTGCTTCAAACGGGATACCTGCGGATCTCTGAGTAAGGTTTCCATAGTCTAGCGGCGTAACATTCCTGACCATTCGTCACCACTCGCCCCTTTCCGTAACCTCCAAGAAGATATTGGTCATTCATACGTCACCACTCGTCCCTTTCCGTAACCTCCTCGGCTTGTCCCGGAATAACACGAGTTGGTCACGAATGATTCGGCTTGTCCCGGAATAACACGAATTGGTCACGAATGCCTACAAGCAGCAATTTTAACACAATACTGAAAGGGGCCAAAATACATTTTTCCAAAATATTTCTATAATTTTGCTTGAAACAGGATTATATCTCATTTAGTGCTTCATGACATGCTGTTGATCACTGGATTGTCTGGTCCAGTTGTTTGTTGTTTAACGATGCACCCAGCTATATGTCTGAGTTCTGTACATCTGGACCAGACAATCCAGTGATCAACAGCAAGAGCATCGATCTATACAGTTGGCATATGATGTCAACCAAGTCAGGGAGTCTGCCTACCCAGTTCGTCGCCCTGGGTTACGGAGAAACCAATTCTAACCCGGATCTTCACGGGTGGCAACTGCATGCAATAGTCAATGGCAGCACTGGTTATATCACCGTTTGTTCAAATTATGGAAGAACAGAGCAATCTTCCTGGTCATCAAATTTTAGTTTCATATTCAAAGTGAGTGAGTGTGTTCGGTTTACGCCGCTTTTACCAACATTCCAGCAATATCACGGCGGGGGACACCAGAAAAGGTTTCACACATTGTACCCACGTGGGGAATCGAACCCGGGTCATTGCTTAAAGCGACGTAAAAGGATACTCACCCTTTTGTAGTGCAGTATTTGAAGTACTTGTTATATTTCCCGAGGTGGTGGATGCCCCCACATCGTGTCCCGCGCTTCCTGGGGTGCCCGTGCGCCACGATCTTCCAGCTATATGCCGGCGCCTGCCAAGTACGTCTTCATCCACCACGGGGAGAGTGGGTCGTGTTCCAGCCAGAGCGCATGTTCTGCCATCGTTCGAAGCTACCAGAACTACCACATGGATACACACGGTGAGTCGAAGACGTTGTTGTTTGTTTTCAGTAGTTTAGCAACATCGGTCTGTGGTCGAATCTGAACCCCCAAACCAGAAGTTGGATTTATTAGCAGCCTAGCCGACATCTAGGAAATGATGATATTCTTTCTTGGTCGTCTTGTCTTATGTATCAGCAATATCCAAGCTATATGATCGCCTTCTGTAAATAATCAAGTCTGGACCAAACACTCCAGTGACTGACTTCATGAACATCGACCCAAGGCCTGCCCACGCTAAAACACCACTTTGGCAACAAACTGGGTCTCGTAGCAACAAGGCACACCCTATCGGCAGAAAAAGGACATAGTTGCTCTAAGTTAATCAACCGATACAGTACCCTCTATATATAAAGTCTTCTGTTGCAGGATGGAGTGATATCGGGTACAGTACGATCTATATATAGAGTCTTCTGTTGCAGGATGGAATGATATCAGATACAGTACCCTCTATATATAAAGTCTTATGTTGCAGGATGGAGTGATATCGGTACAGTACCCTCTATATATAAAGTCTTCTGTTGCAGGATGGAGTGATATCGGGTACAGTACGATCTATATATAGAGACTTCTGTTGCAGGATGGAATGATATCAGATACAGTACCCTCTATATATAAAGTCTTATGTTGCAGGATGGAGTGATATCGGTACAGTACCCTCTATATATAAAGTATTCTGTTGCAGGATGGAGTGATATCGGGTACAGTACCCTCAATATATAAAGTCTTCTGTAGCAGGATGGTGTGATATCGGTACAGTACCCTCTATATATAAAGTCTCCTGTTGCAGGGTGGAGTTATATCGAGTACAGTACCCTCTATATAAACTCTGTCAAAAAAGAAACGCAACCCCTGTCCTCAGATATGAAAAATTCGTTTGAATGAAGTTATTGCTTCCAAACTAAATTTTATTCGAATGTATTGAAATGATACACGTAATTAATGAAGATTACCATCCAAACAACTGCATTTGTACGCATAAGTGTATTTTATTGCTTATTCCGTCACAACGCATGAAATGACCCTCATGGTGACTTCGCACAAAAAAAACACATGCAAATCATGAAAATGGCAGTTAATGTAGGGGTGTATAAAAGCCCATGTGGTTCCGTATTATATTCATTCATTTGTCGCCGAAAAGCTGTGTTAAAAATGCCACGATTGAGTGCTGCCGACCGAAATATCGCCATTGGTCGTGTTCAAGCCGGAGAAAGTTTTGGAACGGTTGCACGGCACCTAAATGTTCACAAAACAACGATATCCCGACTTTGGAGCCGCTACAACAACTTCAATTTGACCAACGATCGCCCGAGAAGTGGAAGGCCAAGAATCACGACCCCCCTTCAAGATCGGTACATCCGGGTCCATCACCTGCGTAATCGGCATGCCCTACCAACCGTGACTGCCACACAAATACCAGGTTTGAGGAGAGTGTCAGCTCAAACGATTAGGAACCGTCTGAAAGAAGCGGGTTTACGTGCCTGTAGACCAGTTGTTGGACCTGTACTACGCCCCCTACATCGACGCCGACGACTCAGGTGGTGCAACAACGTAAGGATACGGACTTTACAAAACTGGAGGCGAATCTGGTTTTCTGATGAATCACGTTTTCTTTTGCAACGTCACGACGGAAGACAGCGTCTGTATAGGAGACGTCATAAACGTTTTGCGCCCATCTGCGTCCGACAGGTGGACAGATTTGGCGGAGAAAGCGTCATGGTTTGGGGAACCATCTCATACAACCAGAAATCAGACTTGGTGATCGTTCCAGGGAACCTGACAGCCCAACGTTACATCAACCACGTGTTAGAGCTTCACCTTCTCCCGATTATTGACCAACAGACACAGATTTTTCAACGGGACAACGCCCGGCCTCATACTGCACGTGCAACAATGAACTTTCTGCAGAATTCCAACGTCAATGTCTTGCCATGACCCTCTAAATCACCAGACCTCAACCCTATTGAACACCTGTGGGATACTCTGGATCGACGCGTACGTCAACGTCAGCCGCCGCCACAGACGCTGCAACAGCTCGCCGTTGCACTGCAGGAGGAGTGGAGAGCCATTCCCCAGGAAAGAATCCGGCGTCTTATCCGTTCTTGTCCAAGGAGATGCCGTGCAGTGATTGCAGCGCGTGGTGCTCATACGAGATACTGAGAAAGACGCCCCCCCTGGTGACAAACTGGTGTCTGTGAGATGACTTTTGAAATGACAATTTTAAACATGCCCATCTGGGTTATTATTCTGCCAAATTTCAGACTTCTGTCTTAAATAATAAAAATGCCGTGTCGTCCTCAAACTTCAGATCAAAATCTCTAAAATACAGGGGTTGCTTTTCTTTTTTGACAGAGTTTATAAAGTCTTATGTTGCAGGGTGGGGTGATATCGGGTACTACCCTAGCCTCTATATATAAAGTCTTCTGTTGCAGGGTGGAGTGATATCGGGTACAGTTTCCTCGTGGGCGAGGACGGTAATGCATACGAAGGGCGTGGCTGGGACAAGATTGGGGCCCACACCCAGGGTTACAACTCAGTAGGTCTTGGTGAGTTACACAGTCTTGTGGAATACGGTGTATTTCTGAAGTCACCTAAACATGAATATCTGGGTACACAACCATTGTTTTGTCCCTCATATCATGTTTTCGTTACATTTAAGTATAATTTAATATTTTGGTGTTTTTGATTGGACAAGGCACGAAATTCAGGACATAGTGAGTGAGTAATGTTTTACACGGCTTTTAGCAATATTCTAGCAGTATCACGGTGGGGGGACACCAGAAATGGGCTTCACTCATTGTACCCATGTGGGAAATCAATCCCGGGTCTTCGGCATGACGAGCGAACGCTTTAACCACTAGGCTACCCCACAGGACATATACACCCTCACCCAGCCGAGATATTGTTGGAATATTGCTAAAAGCGGCGTAAAGCCATACTCACTCACTTACTCTCCGAAAAGATTTGGGTACGTTCGACTAGTCAGCACTTTCTGGGTGAAGTCCCAATCACTGTCATGGCTACAGTACAAGGGTTTCAGAAGTAATTTGTGAAAATTTTGATTGAAGAGAATGTCACATGGACGATCTAATGCCCGAAAGTGTAACGAAGCAACGTCTTGTCTAATTCTAATAAATATACATACTCCATGTACATCGTTCTCGTCCCAGGTTTCTGCATGATCGGCTCATTTGACAACCACGTCCCTAACGCCGCTGCCCTGAACACTCTCAAGAACCTCATCGCGTGTGGTGTTGGAAAGGGCAAGATCAGCTCAAGGTATACTTTGAGAGGCCACCGTGACATGAACCAGACATCGTGCCCTGGAACAGCACTGTACAACCTGATCAAAACCTGGCCCCACTACTGAACACGCGGACAGATGACACTGAAATCATACAACAGAATACAAGGATAACATGGACAACAAACTCTTTATTTTGTGATAAAGAAATTGACATCCAGAAAGCATCTTGCCTTTATCATTACTAATCAACTTTCAAACTGCCAATCAAAAAGAACAATAAAATTATATATGAATGAGTGAGTGAGTTTAGTTTCACGCCACTTTTAGCAATATTCCAGCAATATCACGGCGGGGGACACCAGAAATGGGCTTCACACATTGTTATATATACATAAATAAATTAGTTTTGTTTGTGAAAAGATTTGATCATAAGACTTTGCACTTTAAATTGTAAGTGACAAAGTTCAGGAAACACTTCCTTTCTTGATCAATGGATCATTTGTTTACAAATGTTATTTCCAGAGATGTGTGAATTGTAGAGGTTCAGGATAATTTGACAAAAATGAAGGCGTTGATAATTACTGAAAAAAACAATTAAGTGAAAATATAGTTCCAAGCAACGATGGGGGTCCTTGGCTTTAGTTCTATCTACCCTATTGTGTCTGTCACATATTTGATGAAAGTTGTAATAGTTTTAGTTAATATGAATCATTTCACTGCTAGTCTTTGGAGATACATTACTGCAATCAGTAGTTATAATCGACACTAATATCCCACTTGTACAGCTACATTTTGGTCGAAATCGGACGGTTGGTTTGAGAGTTACGGGTGTTTGAATTGTATTTGAGGGCTAGAAATCATCGTCCAAAACGCAGCTAGAACACGTTTATGACAGGCGAGCGACAGCCGGGGTCGCGGGGTGGGGGGGTGGGGGTGTACTTTTTAAGAAGTTCTGGCGAAGAAATAGTTCCCTCTTTAAAAAGCTGTATCTCAGTTGTTCATGGGTGTACGATCAAAACAATTAGTGTTCTGGAATCACCAAGACTTCATCTATCATACTGGCACTTTTGTGTGCAGAGTTTGCACTTTTTGGGAGCAAACTACTCAGAAAACTGCTGAAATCAAAAATAACTGCCAAACGGTACAATTTAGCAACTTGACCCGTCCAGGCAAAATTGTTGGGAATTCGACTGTGCATCTGTACAAGAGATTTGGAAGTGTTGGAACAATTATTTCTTGAGATATTTGCTGTCAAACTTGGAAATTGTGGAATTAATTTTGAATTATCTCCCTTTGCTATTGGGCCTAGAGCCTAGAGATTTTTAAGGGGAATATCTGCACCTCGGTGGGCATCTGTGTGATATTTTGTAAGCAGTTCGGAGCATTGGTATAGGAGGTATGTTTGGTACAAAAATCGGCGGAATAATAAATAATTATAATAATAATAATCCGAACGATTACAATAGGTCTCGTGCCTAGAGGCAAGGAGCCCTAATGATGGACTTCCTCATCGATAACATCTATGTACAATGAGGGGTACGGCATGTAAGCTTGAGCCACCCCAAACCCACCAATTGTTGCTGATTTCCTTATTGCTCACCTGCATGTCAATCAAGTCTGAATATGGTACTTTGACCAAAACGTATTTGTTTCTCACGACCTTTCTGGGCTGGTTCTTGTCCTTTCTTCAGAAGGATGATGAACGAGCAAGAAGAACTAACCCAGAAACGTCGTGAGAAACCAATAAAGGTGATGTTATCCATAACATTGTATTGTATCACTACACCAACTTCTAAATGCCTTTGAAGAAGTTCACAAGTTGATATTATATGTAAGCTTCAGTTAAAGCGATTATCTGACATAGTTTGATTACCACCTAATACCCAGTTCCATTCCACTGACTTACCCACATATGCAAAAAATTAACGGAAGCAGTCGGAGAACGCTTCATCTGTTTCATAGTCAGATCTATCCATTTAGAATCACACCGACAAAATCCTCTCCACCGAGAAAGCCTAGTGATGTCGGGGTTGTAGTCAAATGGACCGAACGACAAAATGACCCCAAAGTCAAATGGGCTGAAATCAAAGTCTGCCAGGGCCTAGATTTTCGAAGCTCTCTTAACGCTAAGCTAGTCGTAAGTTAATGTTAATGTATGGCACTTACGACTAATTTAGCGCTAAGAGAGCTTCGAAAATCTAGGTCCATAGCTGAGGATGTTATTGATATTGTTATGATATTATGTTTTAATGCTATATACGTCAATAAAAAATGAAAAACATTTGTAAACTGTTTTTTGGTTCGGCCCATATGACTAAGAATAAGGTCCTGTTGACATTTTTTCACAACCCATTTGACTTTCACCACGACCCATTTGACTTTTTTTCCCATCGGCCCTTTTAGCTTGGCACTTCTCGGCCCTTTTGTCCTTCGGCCCATTTGTCTAGATCCCGTGATGTCGCACTGGTAGCAAAATGTTTTTTTATCAAAAATAGAATAACATAATTTCAATGATTTGTTTGATTTTCGAATGTTCTCATCCGATTCCTCATTACTTCGATCATCTTCTCCTACTTACAATTACTTTATCATGATTTGAAGTTTATTTTAAGAACTAGAAATTCCCAGAAAATAATTGATTTTTCAAACTTTTTGCGAAGTAATAGGGAAAATTTGGAAATCTTTAACAGGTAATTAACTATTAGAGTTATATATTAAAAAATCGAAATTTTGAATTTTTGAAAATTATGTAAAGTTATGAGAAAATATTCGAAGTAGCTAGAGAAAAGTGGATTATAAAAAAAAATAGCTTAAAATTACGAGAAAACAATCAGACTACGGGCTGATAATGATTCAGACTACGGGCGCGTACTACTGATATTTCTAGAAACTTAAGGAAGTATCACTGAAAACATTGAAAATGATCATCAAGTCGACAACATTGGTATTTGTGTCAAAGAAAAACGGATTGTTTGAGTCGCAGCCTATATGTTGCCCCTGTCGTAATCGCTGTGTGTGAAACGGCACCTGTGAAAAAATGTTCCACTGAGAATTCTGTTCCCTGTGACACACCTTACCATCTGTAAACGTTGGCGGCCATTGTTAAGCTAGGAACATATTTAACATATTTCCATGTAACTTTGATCTCACAACACCATACCAAGGACAAAGTTTTGCAACATCAAGATCCAGGCTAGTCTGTCATACAGACCCTGAAGCAAATATATCCAAGAATCCCCCGCAAGTCTAGAAAATGTGGCAGGTCTAGATTTCCACAGCTTCAGGAAATTCTTCTGAAAATGAAGAAAGTCTCAGGGCTCCTTTTCATTATATTTTATCTTTTGTACTATGAGCTTTTTTCTGTAAAATGTGTTTATTTCAGAGACCAGTTGTTAGTCTACATCCAGGCCAAAGTAACCTACTGGAGGAACCTATCAACATTTGGGTCAAAGGTCCTGAATGTAACTCGCCACACGTCTTGACCGGAGGGAGCGGTTAGAGTGATAGGTGACTTGTCAGTAGGGTTGAATATAGAGGGCAGTGAGATCGGTGTTACAGCAGTTTAAAACACGTTTTCCAGACTACAATACCGTTACCAATGTAGCGACAGAGCTGCCATGGTTTGATGAGTACGTTGGCCGTTGCAGATTGCGTTCTCTTGCTTGATATATACAATGAGTACTTTGGCCGTTGTAGAGTGTGTTCTCTTGCTTGATATATACAATGAGTACTTTGGCCGTTGCAGATTGCGTTCTCTTGCTTGATATATACAATGAGTACTTTGGCCGTTGCAGATTGCGTTCTCTTGCTTGATATATACATTGAGTACTTTGGCCGTTGCAGATTGCGTTCTCTTGCTTGATATATACATTGAGTACTTTGGCCGTTGTAGAGTGTGTTCTCTTGCTTGATATATACAATGAGTACTTTGGCCGTTGCAGATTGCGTTCTCTTGCTTGATATATACATTGAGTACTTTGGCCGTTGTAGAGTGTGTTCTCTTGCTTGATATATACAATGAGTACTTTGGCCGTTGTAGAGTGTTATCTCTTGCTTGATATATACAATGAGCACTTTGGCCGTTGTAGAGTGCGTCCTTTCGCTTAATACAACGAGTAACGTAGTCGTTCAATGGTGTGTGCTCTTGCTTAATACAATGTTCATCTTATCCGTGGTACAGTGAGTTCTCTTGCTTAATACAGTGTGTATACCTATCCCTGCTACAGTGAGTTCTCTTTCATAATACAATGTGTATCTTATCCGTGGTACAGTGGGTTCTCTTGCATAATACAATGTGTATCTTATCCGTGGTACAGTGTGTTCTCTTGCATAATACAATGTGTATCTTATCCGTGCTACAGTGTGTTCTCTTGCTTAATACAATGTGTATCTTATCCGTGGTACAGTGTGTTCTCTTGCTTAATACAATGTGTATCTTATCCGTGGTACAGCGTGTTCTCTTGCTTAATACAATGTGTATCTTATCCGTGGTACAGTGTGTTCTCTTGCTTAATACAATGTGTATCTTATCCGTGGTACAGTGTGTTCTCTTGCTTAATACAATGTGTATCTTATCCGTGGTACAGTGAGTTCTCTTGCATAATACAGTGTGTATACCTATCCCTGCTACAGTGAGTTCTCTTTCATAATACAATGTGTATCTTATCCGTGGTACAGTGGGTTCTCTTGCATAATACAATGTGTATCTTATCCGTGCTACAGTGTGTTCTCTTGCATAATACAATGTGTATCTTATCCGTGCTACAGTGTGTTCTCTTGCTTAATACAATGTGTATCTTATCCGTGGAACAGTGTGTTCTCTTGCTTAATACAATGTGTATCTTATCCGTGGTACAGCGTGTTCTCTTGCTTAATACAATGTGTGTTTTATCCGTGGTACAGTGTGTTTTCTATTGCTTAATACAATGTGTATCTTATCCGTGGTACAGCGTGTTCTCTTGCTTAATACAATGCGTATCTTATCCGTGGTACAGTGAGTTCTCTTGCATAATACAGTGTGTATACCTATCCCTGCTACAGTGAGTTCTCTTTCATAATACAATGTGTATCTTATCCGTGGTACAGTGTGTTCTCTTTCATAATACAATGTGTATCTTATCCGTGGTACAGTGTGTTCTCTTGCATAATACAATGTGTACGTTATCCGTGGTACAGTGTGTTCTCTTGCATAATACAATGTGTATTTTATCCGTGGTACAGTGTGTTCTCTGTCTTAATACAATGTGTATCTTATCCGTGGTACAGTGGGTTCTCTTGCTTAATACAATGTGTATCTT